AGATCTAGGTCATTAAAGAATTTGATATAGTTAATAGTTTTATATTGGTTTTGAAGAAAGAGGTGTAAACGAGCAAGGTTGATAGCATAAAGAGAAATTATTTTTTGTTTCACTATAAAATGTATTTATATATAATTTTACTGCCTTTTGTTTTAAGTTTAAGCAACTATATTTGAAACTTTCTTTATCTAATTCATTAAGGAATTTTTATTTTCTTTTATTTATTAATTGATAATCTGCCTATGAACTGGAGAATAGATGAAATGAGACGTCTGCCATCTAAAACTTTTTTTATTACTAAGTTAATATAGAGATTTTATATAGTCGGCCAATCGTTTTTCAATGATATCTCGCCATCTACTGTGCTGATTTGGATGATCTAACTACTCTACAACTTTCAATTAATGAGCATATATCATTAACTTAGTATGAAAAAAGTTTTAGATAGGAGCATGTTACGTTTTGCCAATAGTGATTTTCATATATAATTTCTGTCATGAATTTTTATATAGTCGGCCAATTGTATTTTGACAATATCTTGCCATCTACCAGGCTGATTTGGATGATCTAACTACCATTAGATGCGCCTCGACAAGCTCTACAACTTTCAATTAGTAACCATGTATTATTAACTTAGTAAAGCTATACAAACAAATAAAATTGATTCTCGTTATCCAGTCAGATGTCTTTATTATAAAAATTAAAATTTTTTTTATAGTAATATATATAATTTTTAATACAGTTAAATTACTATATATGCTCTATATATGCGTATCCTTTCTCTATGCTTCGGTCCTACCTAAGTGCATAATAATTATGAGATCAATATCATAAGTCACATAACCGATTAGATATTCGAAGAGACATGTTCAAGACAAGATATAATAAGATCAAGACATTATATACTATAGTAATAGGATAAGTATGATGTAAAGGGGTAGGTATAAGGTAACAGAGATAAGTATGCATGACAAAACAAAGAAAGACTTTGTTTTCTTTCACTTTCACAAACCCGATCTTCATTTTAATTATACTGATCCCACTTTTTCACCTAAAGTGCAGGAATAAAGATTTAATACTGCCTGTTAGGCAATATATAATTTCTTTAAGTTCATTGGAATTTGTAAATTATATCTTCGTGAATTATAGTGGTGTTGGCTTTAGGTTTCACGCAATATTATTACTACTTGAATCACAACTATAGAATGACTTATTCTATAGCATAAGGCATAGAACTATAAAGTGTAAGATTAACTTTTTTCTTGTTTTGTAGCAAATGAATTAAAACAGAAAACAACATATTTATAAACTTTTGCGTAAGCTTTTTTAGGCTTTTTTTAGGCTTTTCTGTAATATTTCGCACATATTTTCATCTTATTCTGTTTAACAAGTTATTAGAGATTATATTTGATACTTTATTTTTTTTTGATTATGAACTGTTATTTTCACGGCATTGAAATAATCTCACTATTTTGTATTAATTAGACAATATTCAATCTAGTTATATATGGCATTGTGAGATCAATACTCATAGTATCCTTCATTATTTGATATTTATTACATATTTGCAGAAGCTTCTCTATTTATACTGACATCTCTCTTGTTTTTTTTTTTTTGCTTGAAATTTAACACCTTTTCCTTTTTTTTTTTTAGCTTTAACTGAAGCATGGCATTTAGAGCAGTACAGCTGTTTACCGGTAGGCATTGGTAAGAGGATTTCTGCATCGTCATACTGAAAACAAACGTTTGGATAAAGACAGCAAGAGAAATATAGAACTTCTATAGGTATTAAGCAGGTAAACTTGGCATTTACGAACATGTGTTTAAACAATGTTTCTAAGGATAGCAGATCGTTATTCATATTTTGTTCTACAGATGATTCATTAGGCTGTTCTACAGGCGATTCATTGGGTTGTTCTACAGGTGATTCATCAGGTTGTTCTACAGGTGATTTATCAGATTGTTCTACAGGTGATTCATCAGATTGTTCTACAGGTGATTCATTAGTATTATCTTCCATACTATCGATATTATTATCACTATCGTCATTTGTATTAATACTTATTGCTTGATTATTGTCGTTTAGATCTAATAGTGAACTGGCTTTGGTAAGGTCTGAAATTCTATAGAACATTATACCACATGTGTAATCAATTGTTTCTATAAAATTTTTGAGAAAATTTTCTTATTCCGGGCTTAAACGGTGTTGTAAATAGAATACTTGTGGTCGATTACATTCAATACATTTGACCAGAACATGCACATTTGCTGCATATTGTGCCCGAGGGCTAAAACCCATGCTATTAGTACCAAGGCTATCAATAGCTATAGTAGTTGATGATATGTAAGAGTTGACTTTTTGGAGTGAAGACGGTGGTATTTTTCACTAGTATCCTTACTATATAGTTCACAAAATAACATATAGTGATCTTCATTTGCTTTAGAAATAGGATCTGAAAAGGGTTGCAACTTTACAAATACATCAGGTTTACTTCGTGTTGGTTTGCAAATCATACAACCAGTTTCAGTTGCTTGACATTTTCTAATTTTAAAAAAATAGGTTCTTGACTAGCAACAATGGTTCATAAATTCAAGAATACAGGACTTAATATATATATATTTATGAATTACAAGAATATTAAATTTTTTCTGCAAATTGAAATTAAACTATAGTGGTAAAATAATTTCACATAGGTATTATTTCAAGACAAATAGTTTTAAGAGAACTCATAATTAATTTATCTGAGTGCAAATCATAATTTTTTGTTATTAAAAATCTTCAGCTAAATTAATTAGTAGCTCTCTTCAAACTATGTGCTTTTAAATAACGGCCATAAGCATTATTTCGCGCAAATAAGGGCTATATTGGTGAAATCAATTTCGCCAATATCTCAAAACTGATCTTATTTTCAATGTGCTTTCTAGATGTATTTTTAGGTACTAATAAATCATCTATTTCAAGTACTGACTTCCACAAATATTCAATCTCTTGCTCTGTCACTGATTCAAATATGGAAAAACTTTCTCCTTTGAGTTTCAATCGTTCAAAAATATCTTGCATAATAATTTTTGTAGGTTGCAAGCTCTTGATTATTCCTTTCTTAAGCTGAGGTACTCCTTTAGCTTAGTTTTAAATTTCATCTATTGTATTACAGCTTTTCATCAAACCTTCCAATTCTGTATCCATTTCAGTTCTCATAAGGCCAATGCACTGCAATCCAAGGTTTAAGATAGACATAATGCATTCAACCGGATTCTTCCATGAATATTCCGGAGGTGTTCGAACAGCAACCAAAAAATCAAGATCCAAAGTTAAAAAAATTGCAATTAATGCAAATTGTACACAAAGAAAATTCACTCGATGGTCCAGCCCACCATCAGTATAAATAAATAGATAGGGCTTATTGTCATTAGTGCTTTTCAAAATATTATATAATTCTGTGATGTGTCGCATTGGACTTGACAGCTCGAATATACATTCTTTTAGCCAAACGTGAACTTTCTCAGTATAAAATGATTCTTCAATTGTTTTAGGTATATTGCATAACATAGTAACACTTGAAATAATCTCACATTTTGTAAAATCATAATCACTAACAACAAATGTTGTGTTGTGATTAACAAGTACTCACTTTTTACGATCTACTGCTGAGACTAAATAGCCAGGTTCACCAATTTTACAGTGGTGTTTGTCATCTATAAAAACAAGCTGGGCTTCATCTCGAAACATGATTATCATCTTCTTTAAATATTGAAATAATGCTGATACATAATGTAAATCAACATGATCACACTGAAGCTGACAAGTCTGAATTATAAATTTAACTGGTAAAATACTGGTATATTGTAAACTATTTTTATTTGTGGGTGTAGTTGGCCAAAATTGTAAGCGAAGCCATCAAGTTGATGGAATTGGAGCTTGTGGATTAGTTTTTTGTACTTTTTTTGTTATCATATTACAAAGATCACAGACTGAAATAGCTTGTGTGAGATGCACAATCAGATCGTGTCTTCTTTCATCAATAGCAACTACAGTTTTTTGTACAATATCATCCAAAATTTTTTTGCTTGCAGCCCAAAATTCAGTATATTTACTTAGACAACCTTCATTAAGTTCTCTAAGGTCACCAATTATTTTAAAATCATTTAGTTCAAAAGCCAATTTGACACGCTCATCAACCTTTTTCTGATTTGCCGTTTCTGCAGCTAAAGCATCATTTGTTAATTCTTTATATATGAGCCATAATTTGGCTTTCGGTTGTTTGTTTAGATGAAGTTCATATATGTCCATATACTCTTTATACATATATTGTGTGTGATAAGTAGAAAAAGTTTTTTTTATTTCTGTTCTGATTTTATAATGTTGATTGGATATTTCTTCTTCTGTTGCTTCCTCATCTATGTGTTAAATATATGTTGCATTGCAAACGTTTCTATGGTGATAAGCATAAATTCCAACTTTGAATGTGAATCTGACTTCTAAGTTTGCTAAATACCGATAATTTTGCTTATATATATTTAACTTATAAAACAGTTTTTAATTTTTTGATTTTTTTTTTTTTTATAGCATATAAAATAGACTAATACAGAGTAATCCCTCAAATTCCGGGTCGAAAACATTAGACAACTGGCCGGAATTGATCAATTTTGCCCAAGATCATTAAAAATTTTACTAATAAAGTCATAGCCGTTCATTAAGTAAAAAATGAACAGCTAATAATTTTGCTACAGACTATGCTAGCCTGTATTACTAATTGTCAGCCTAGAACTGATGCCTTCCGATTCAAAATTTCAGGTATCTCCCTATGTAAGATCATAAAATATTCATACATGTGATATTGAAGAGCAAAAATTATCAGCCAAAATTGGTTGCCAGTATTGTTTGTCTTGTAATGCTAAGGAAAGGTTTCTATATTTTATTATATTTTCCAGTTTATATTTATCATTTGCTTTGAATATTTTTAGTTCTCCATTATCATATTCATTAATTATAGATTGATTAAATTCTTGGTTTTGAGATGTCTCTATATGCTTGTAGGCAAGATATTCTGCATATTTGGAGAGATCTTCACCGAGTTTTATTATTGGTTCTTTGAGAAATGTTGAAAATGATAACCTTGTCATTTATGAGTGGGTAGCATATTTGAGAAGATATTCACTATGTTCATTAAGTTCTTCAGCATTAAATCTAGATCAGGCACATTTATAATGTTGTGGATTGTTATATCCCATGAAGTCTTCAAAGACTTTTAGTAAGTTGTATCGTTGAGTGAATGTATTACTATTACATCCATCTATGTACCATAGCACATTAGTTAAATCTTGGATGAATGGTTTGCCAATCATTTCAGCCATATCTGGCCCTCTCTAACCACTATTTTTTTTCTTAATCCATTCTATTATATCATTTCGCTATTGTTCTTTTTTACTTGGTTTGGTACCGGGCTTCTATGTTGGAAGTGTAATAGAGTTTTGGGTGTTAAACATTACTTTAAAGAGATTTGTATATTGGTGACTTGATGAGTTTGTCCATAATATAAGTAATCAAAAAACAAAATGTTTTCTATAGTCTAGTACAACTTTCCACAAATTACAGGCAAGATCAACATTCTGATTAACCGCAGTTTTTGAATTTTCACAACGAACCTTGATTTTTCAACCAAATCTAAATGATTATTTAACATATGTTCTTCTACTAATTCTAAAAAAAATTGTTCAATCATAATGTCAGTTTGTACTAGTATTATCTTCCAACCAAATAATACCTTCGATTCTTAAATAATTTGTATATTTATTACCGGCATAGTAAAAAAAAAATATTGCTGAAATTTTTTTTGAGTTGATGAACAGTCAACAGACTGAAGACTAAGATAGAGATAAAAATTTCGCTACCTTATACATAATGCATACGTGATTAAGATATAGCACAAATCGATAAACACAGGATCTAGGACACTCGCAATAAAAAGTTGATTCCTGTACAATTTTGGTAAGTATATCTATGTTCATATAAAATCTTTACAATTTAGGAAATACAAGAGAAAAATTAAAAAGGCCATTATTCACAAATAGGCAAAGATGTAGTTGGTAGTTCATAAAAAATTTATTGGGTTAAAACCGAAAAAAGACACAAGAAAGTTGCTTTGATTTATACTTTTTGATTGCCAGAGCTTACATCATTATATGTTGTTAGATATACACTGAAATTCAGAAGAAATCCAACCAATAATTAGTAATCTGGTGCTATTGTTGAATTTCCTTTTGAATTTCAACAAACATCTATCGACTTGTGCAATTATGCATTTTATACCCTTTTGTTATGTACGTATATATATACATACTATCTTGTATCACAAAATAACAAGTTTAATCTAGTATAGTACAGGAAATATAAAGCCTCAATCACTTTATTAGAGATAACTTATTGACATCTAATACAATAAATAGGCCGTTGCTATTATGTTTTTTTAATCATTATAGCATTATTGTTGAGCATGAATGAATAAGATTTGGTTTTATTGTACTATTGTGTTAGAGTATTCAGAATTCTGCAATTGCAAATTTTGCAATGCATTTGCAGAATCCGCTGTTAAATACGTAATACATTATTTTTTTTTAATTTGCAGATTTGCAATAATAATTGATAATTGTTTTGAGTTAGTTCAGTAGTTTTGACCAAATCAGCTATAAAAATCTATACAACTAAGTGCGAAAAATAATAAATAAAAATCATATACCCAGTTGCCATATATATGTTGTGCCTCAGAATCGGTTCCTGCCTTAGATGATAACTGTGGTACCTCATATATTAATCATTAGATGAGGTGCGTAACCTGTCATTTGGTCACCAGAGGTGCCTTAGTTGATATCTGAGGCAAGCGTACCGATATGTATAAAATTTATATAGGTATATAAACTGTCTACGTAGAAAATGCTCTTGATGTTCTAATTAAAAAGTTATTGGTCAAAAATAACTAAAGCAAATTTTACAGAAAATTGGAGCAAATAGAATGT